CTGCTCGTATCCAGACCTTCTCAAGGGACGCGGAAATACAAAAACCAGAGAGTTCAGAGTCACTGAAAATATCACTGAGAAGTATGCAGAATTTTTTATTTTTTTTTCATCCTATTGAGGGTAGGTTTTATTTGCGTAGTTACCAGTTAGGATTGCTGTCCCAGCTCTGTGGGAGCTGTCAGTTCTGTGCTGTAAAAGGCAATCACTGCGTGTTACAGGAGGTTTCTGCATCGCATTGTCCCATTTTTGGAGCAGAGATTTCTGTTGACAAACCCAGGAACAGAGCTACTCCAGCTCTTGCCCTCTGCAGCCTCATTCCAGCCCCAGGACACCCGCTGCAGGAGCAGGACATGGCCCCGTCCCGGGTGGGGAGGTTGGGGTGGCAGCGCTGCGTGGAGACACATTCTGCCAGCCCCAGGGCCGAGTGGCCTTTGCTGAGCTTCCCTGGTCTGTGCTGCTGCAGCGACCAAATGTGTCTCTGTGTGTGTTTGTGTTGTTTTTAGGAACTCAGGAGAGAAGCTGAAATGCAGAACTGTGTACATATTTACACAGACGTGGCTATAGTGCACGCGTGTTTATACACACATGGCTTTGCATCCCAGCTCCTCTCCCCTCTTCCTAAAAACAATTTGATTTTCAAGTCTGTTTATACACGCTGTGCATCAGCGTCATTAAATATGAATGTTCTATAAATAATAACTAAAAAATCTTGAACAGTTATTGATAGCTTGATGCCACGAACCAGTTGGTATCCCAGGCAACTGAGCAGCTCTCGTTGTCCATACAGCCCCTAACAAACGCAAACAATTTTTACTGAAAACTTAAAAAATACTGCCCATTTTTCAGAAGCGTTTTTAAGCTGTACAGGTACATTTCATTAGTGTGTTCCTGAGCAGACAAGTACTGATGAGATTTAATTTTTTTTTTTTTTTCTGAGCAACGGGGGGTTTTTCTCACATCAGTGAGTGTTCAGTTTGCTCCTAAAAATAATATCAAAATTCAAAACAAACCTCAAAGCCAAACAGAAATGCAGGTGAAAAGACATTGAGCTTGCATTCCCCTTTAAAGGATTATTTTTAAACCACAGTCTTATATTTTTATACGCAATTTTCATGCATATTTTAAAAATCCAAAATGTATTAGATGTATGTACTTGGAAAAAATAATAATCCCCTGGCCTTCTATGAAGATCTGTCAACAAGGATGGGAATAATAAGGAATTACAAGTGGCAAGTGCATGGCTGCTCAGCTCCCCTCCATCTAATCATTTATACCCAGAGCTTGCAGGAGTTCCTCTGCGATCGCTGCCAACGTGGCCATTGCTCTCCCAGTAAAACCAGTCCATTTCCCTTTCAGATGAGCCCTCGATGTCGGAGATGAGTCATTCCAATGGGATTTACAGCAATCTGAGTGAAGCGTCCCCTGCTCTGGGGAGACAGGCTGGGACCAACGGGAGCTTTGCTCTGGATCACAGTGGCATCCCTGCTCAGGACCAGTACCACGACCTGCGATCCACCAGCCCCTACGGGATACCCCAGTCACCAGCTTCCTTGCAAGCGCTGCCAGGCCACCAGCCTTTAATCTCCAGCTTGGTTTACCCCGACAACGGCTTGGGCATCATGGGACAAAGCGGACAAGGGGTGCCCCAATCCATGCGGGTCCTGGCTGGGAACGGGCCCAGCTCCGACCTCTCCACCGGCAGCAGCGGGGGGTACCCGGATTTCCCCGCCAGCCCAGCCTCTTGGCTGGATGAAGTCGATCACGCTCAGTTTTGATACAGGGTCGATCACAGTGGGAAGGGAAAGGACTCGGTGCTGTTAAACATGATCTACTCTTGGACATAAAGGAGGGACCAGCTGGGACTGCGGAGTGGGGCAGGAAATGGTGACGACATGGAGAGAGTGGACGTACTTTTGGAGGGTGACCCAGCGGTGGGCTGGCAGAGGACGGTGGGCAGAGGCACCGCAGCGATACGGAGCATCCAAACAGAACTGATTCTTGTGTCTTTACTGAACACCAAGACTTGTGCTTTACAGATTTGATATGAGGTATTTTGCTTTCTGTTGTCAGTGCATTCTCCAACACAACGACGTGCTTCATCACCCACCCACACCGAAACCTTTGAAAGAGAAAATAAAGTCCTCATCCACAGCAAAAGGTGTGACAATGTCTATATTTCTATAGGAGAAATGTTAATAGTGACTCACTTCAGAAATCCATGGTAGAAAACTTCTCTGTTCTTCCAGCAGATTTTTTAAAAAGCGCACTGATGCGGTACGTTTAGTTTTATTTTGAATTTACGTTACCTTTTCTAAAATGAATTGCTCTTTAATATGCCAATCATTTATCAACAACCCTTTTCCTTTGTAAAATGAAAATCATATGTTAATTCTGCTTCTCCTCTTTCTAATTTGTAGGTTGCTAGTTTTATTCTTCCACATGAGCATTGAACCGTGACTAGATGTATTTATTACCAGATAACGACACTTTTATCACGAGGTCAAGAGGTGATTTTTCTTGACCCAGGAACACTACGGGCTCTGGGTTGTGAATCTTACGCTTTTCTTTCAAATTCCTTTGCAATAGTTTTACTGCAAAGTGTCTCAAAAATCATCCTAATGTCTTGTTGCCAAATACCTTCGGGGGGGTCTCTCAGTGGGGGTTTGGGCTGGTTAATTCAGACCTTCTCCGGGCGTGTGCAGCAAGCACACGCGTTCCTGGGGGCACTCCTCTGTTCCAGGCATTTGTGTATTTCTGCAGATATAGTGAGAGCTGATTGTGAGGAAAGGCAAGACAATATGTATAATGTTATCTGTAAAAAACTTATGGAATTAACTGTAGATTATGTGAATGTCCAGTGTCTTTTATTTATATTCTCGCTTTCTCTCTGATGATCAAATAGTTCAAGATTAAAAATAAATTTGTCAGCTAAACTTTAAATAGTCTTTCACTGAATTCACAACAAAAGCATCTATATGTAGGTAATGTCATTTATTTACCTATAAATAAACTATGTATTTTCATGTATATTTTTAAAATACTGAAATGAAAAGTAGAAGCCCTCAAAACTCAATGCCACAATTCAACAAAGTGCTGAAACACGCTCTACACAGGAGCAACCCCTCCGATGTAAAAATGCTTTGAGAAGCAGAAACAAAAAATGAGAGTTTTGGAGGCTGGCAGCCCTTGGGAGATGCAAACAGTGCTGCTCTGTGCATGCACAGGCTTGGGTCCTGGTCAAGCTGTTTTTGACAGGTTACGGGTATTTTTCAGCACTCATTGCAAAGGCAGAAATATGTCAGGCAGAAATCCGTGCTGATGAAGCAAGAGAAAACGGCAGAGTCGGGTATTGTCTGTCTGTGGACAGAAAGTTGTACACATGAAACACTAGAAGTTGGATATTGGAGTATTTCAAAGGGAAATCAGAAATAAAATAAAAAAATACCCCTAAGGAATGAGGCTTGGCTGAAGCGAAGCCTTGCTGAAGTCTCCGATTTAAGAACTGGACAGGAGACACTTTTTACAGCTCAGGGGCTTTGAGACTCTCACTCCCCTGGGAAGTTGGGAACATTTGTACCGTGCGTCGAGCACCTTGGAGAGTGTGAATCTGAGCCCTTCAGCGGGGGGGCAGCGCGGGGGCGCTGCCTCTGGACCCAGCCCCATGGGTGATGCTCTGGCACACGCTGTCCTGCGCTTTGCAGGCGACCCCAGGGGAGGGAGGAAAGAGCTGTGCCGTCCCCAGGAGGCTGCCAGCACCCCGGCATGGTGCCGGCACCCGGGGACTCACCAGCTGTCAGGCGGCAGCACCTGGCGGGTCCAGGCTTTTGTTCCTTTCCTTGTCTAAAGGACACACCGCCGCTGCTGGAGCGGGGTGACGTGTCGCTGTCTCTGCTCTCCAGCTATCATCACCCTTGCTGTTTTGCAGCTGCGGGGGGACGTGTGCTTGCCATAACATGCGGCTGTCACTCTCTGGGCCTTTGCTCGGGGAGGGTGGGACACAGGTCTCCAGAAGTGAGAGGTATTGACAATATTTGCAGGAAGATTTAGATTTGCAAAATACTCATCCACCGCCAGCACTGCATAAGGATCTGTACAGCTTTGCCCCCTCCTGTTGCACACACATCGCACCGGAGAAGAGGAACCGTGTCTGGTTTCTGCTCACAGGGAGCTCTCAGGAGCGATGGTGCAAACTCTGCAGACGCTCCTCGCCCTGGGCACTGCAGGGACACCGCTCACAGCACACACAATGCCCTGGGTGCTGCTGTTACTGGGATAAAGCATTAAAAACCCAAAGCAAAACAGGTACAAACATCCTGCCCTAGGGCTGCACTATTCACTCAGCAGAGAAACTCTCTCCTTGTCCCAGGAGAGCCAGCCCAAGGGCAGGGCAAGGAGCAGCCCCACTGCGTGACACCGTGGGGCTTTGGGGGTGACAACACCACAGCAGTTGGGACCCGGGGGTGACATGTGCCAATTTGCTGGTGTCTCTGCTCCCAGGGGATTTTGCAGATTGCTGAAGCTGTGTCTCCTGCAGCCCAGGCCGAAATTTGCCTCGTTCGGGTAGCAAGAGCCTGGAGCTGGTTCTTCTTCCTTCCCCAGAACAGAGTAATAAAGAGCCAACTGTTGCTGCGAGCCCGCAGGTACACAGCAAGGACATTTCTCACTGAAATTTATGGAGCAATTAGAAAATCATAGGATTTTAAAAAGCAGATTACAAAACTTCATCCAAACAGAAAACGAGAGTTTGTGTTTTCAAGTATTCCGTGGTTTCTCTTCTCTTGCCCTACGATCTAGAGACCCCCTCACCAAATCTGGGAAAGTGTTTTGCATCAAAACATCTTGGTAGTTCAGGTATAAATAATATTTTCCTAGAAAAGACTAAAAAAAGACTCTAAAAAACTCTTATTTCCTAAAAAAGAAGGAAATAAGAACAGAAAAACAGAAATATATTTGATTTTAGGCTAATGCTGCTGCTATAACACCACAGTCTAGAAACTGCAGCAATTGAACCTGTATTTTATGGATCTTTTTTTTATTGTTTCCCTCCCAGCAAATAACGGGCGCTGTTGTTCCTCTCACTCTGGGAACTCCCAGCGGATGGCTGAATTTAAGAAAGGAGGAAATGCAAATTCCCCCCTCTGCCTTTGTGCTTTGCTCTGAAAAGCAGAACGGGCTGGAAGTTGCCGGCGCTTGTGCTCGTCTGAGCAGGGAGCAGAGCTCCGCGCACATCCTGATATAAAATCCAGGGATCGCATTTCAGCCTCTCCTCTCGGGGCTGGGGCTCGGGGATGCCATTAATGTAAATGCTTTCTTCCCGTTAAAAAGAAAACCAATTTGAAAGAAGCAAATAAAACGAACACGATCCCACTGACTGACAGCTTGTAAAACCCAAACAGAACGAGGCAGAGGGGTTTGCGCTGCTCACTTTGCAGGTGACCTTTACAACCTCGCTGATTTGCGTGAGTGCTGCCACAGGAGGCAGGACATTTTCTGTGCTCTCAGCGAGGCAAATCTAACCCATGAATATTATTTTATTTTTTTTTCTGAGCAGGATATTCATCTTTTAGAAGCAGTTGTGCCTAAACTTGCATTCCCTAGAAATGCAGGAAATTATTAGATTTTGTGTCAAACAGTAGAAGCAACTTATTTTTTTCTTGTTTTGATTTCCTCTATGAGGCCAATGAAAGCCAGCCCCTCACTCCAGGAAGGACAGACACCACCTTATGCTTAGATAGTTCCTGCAACTTCTGCGGGGGTGTCAGCCCTGCAAGGGAACCCATTTCTCACCATGGCCAAGGCTGCGGGCGCTGGCGATGGGCAGTAACCCAACACCATGAACCCAGCGGGAGCAGCGAGGGCAGCAGCAGCCGTGTGCTGGGAGGGCGGCCGATCTGCCCGGCTCTGCTTGAGCGGCTCCTGGGGGAGCTGCACCTCGAGGGGCCGGTGTCAGCCCAGCGGCGATGGGGAACACGGGTTTGTCCAGCCTGAGCCGGGGGAACGAGGTGGCAAAAGGGGGGTGTCCCCAGCTGGGGTCCTGGGGCTGGCGTGGGGACAGCCTGCATCCCTGGGTACAGGGCTTGGGGACATCAGGGACCCTTCAGGGACTCCAGGGATCCTTTGGGGACATCAGTGCCCCTTTGGGGACATCAGTGCCCCTTTGGGGATGTGGCCCAGGTGAAACCCCTCACCCACAGGGTCAGGGAAGGTGGCTGGGGCCAGGTCATCCTCGAGGTCCCTTCTGGTGGCTTGTCCCAGGTGTGTTGGAGCATCCGTGGGTGTTCTCACCACCCCACATGTCCCACCCTGCGTCTCCCTGCCCGCACCGAGATCCGTGGAAACGAGGCAGGAAAGCCGAGCCCTGAGGATTTATACAGTGAAATAACATTTAAAAGCAGCAAATGACTATGTTAAAACCTGACAAGAAAACCAAGCTGGCAAAAATCTGCTGAGAAAAAAGCAAAGGTGTTTAAATTACATCTTTTTTCTTTCCTTTCTGACATCTTTATGATGTGTGTAGGTGGCAGCGCGCTTTGCACGGAGCCGCGCGCGCAGGCGTGTCTGTTGGCACACGGGTGCAGCGGCTGGGGAATGGAGCCTGGGGAAAACAGTGATTTAGGATGCAGGAAGCACGGCTTTTGTGCACAGCGTTGTGCAGGCTGGGGATGAAAAATAATTTAATAGCCAAATACACAAGGCTTCTGGATTTAAATGAACTTCTCCCTGTTAGAACACAGACAGTTTCTGCACAATATTTCTCTTGCAGGATACACATGTA